CGTTATTGCTGATACGATTGACTATTACGATATATTCTCAGAAGCAAAGTATATTTCGAAACGTGGTTTATACTTTATACTGATCCTACTGCCAGCAAGATTCCATCCTTTGGTCGGAAATGCTTTCAAGAAAGAGCTCTGTCGCAACCACCGGAAATCAAGCGGTGACTCGACAAAGCGTGAAATGTCGACTTTTATCATCGCCCTTTGATGGCTGAACGAACCCGTTCAATAATGATATAATAGTGATAGCCGGAACATTTCCATCAGATACTAGAGACGAAGCGCAACGCATGGAATTCACGAAGAATCCCGTATTATAGCAGTTCTGTAAATCATATGTTGCATATTTAAGCCATAGTGGTACTACAAACTACGAATAAATTTTCATCAACTCTACCTTTATGCAGTAATCATGATAACATTATTGCGCGTTGTATATAACAGGAAATGGATAACAGCGAGTAGTTAAAACGATCATCATTAACTCTATAAATTATTATTATTATTAATTCTATAAATCGCGTTTGCAATTGTTTTAATACTGTTAGACTTATTACAATATTATTATTGCATTGTTATGAGTATTAATTTATCATTTAATTATTATTAATCGGAAATAATAAGATAAAAAGAAGCGGATAATGTATGAGAAAGAAAAAGAGAGAAAAAAAGAAAGAGGAAAGATAGTTAAAATATTTTAATTTTACTGTGCGAGGAAAAGAAAAAGAAAAAACTGAAATCAGAAGCGAATAACGGAAGTAAGTGCGAATATATCTCTTAAAATTTATCTTTAAAATAAAGCAAATTACGAGGTATAAAGATACATAACAGCATTTTTTATATACTTCTCGAACTTGTTTATTAATTTTATTTTCAGTCAATGATCATTTCTTCTACATATTTTTTTTTAACCATGCGATAAATATTTTCTAAAATTTTAGAGTGAATCTCATTCTGAAGTTTTTTTCAAGATTGGTTTACTTTTTACTTTTTAAAGTGTGAAATTCTACTCCAAAAGAATTTAGAGAGCAATCATAATTTTTCCAGATTTTCAATTCTTATCTTTAGAAAATTTTGTCTAAATATAAGAAATTTAGCAAGTTTAAATCACAATTTTCGTGCAGTGTACAAAGGCCTTGTATCTATATTTTTCGATCCATGGAATATATTGAATGAAAATAAATGACATCTCTCCGAAGTCGTGGCTCGCGGACATAAAGCGGATATGAATTTCGGACGATTAATCTCGAACATGATTACCATCGCATAATTTTGCTATTGCCCAAGCCGTAGCGATTATCGGCATAGACGTTAACGTTAATTGGAGGGTTTTAGGATTAACGCATTCATATTAATAATTGAATCTATACAGGGATTTCCGCGATAGCATCGTGGAATTAGCGAAAACCTGCACATTAACATGTGTTATACGCGAGAATGGACCATTATTAACGTTAGATCGTCTATATGCCACGCGTCATCTTCATTAACAATGACGCTAGTATAGAATTGTCAAGTCCCGCGCGATGACGTGCGGCGTGAAAGAAAATTTAAAAAATGAGCGAGATCTTTCCTCTGCCACTGACCGTGAATAATATAACCGATGGATAATTAGCATGCTACTATGTTTTTCTTACGCTCATTTATTCAGCATCATTATTGCGCAATGCTTACAACCCGCCTTCCTTCGTAATTTTGCACGCACTCGTGTGCAATTGTGCAGTCTAGGATGCAAATTTCCATTAGAAAAAATTATATCGCACGCCCGCAATTACACATGTATGTGTACTGAGTGTCTTCGACGAACGGTGGTTGTAACCGACCGATCTTATTTAACGTTAAAAATAAACGAATCTCAAAGACATTATATTTTTACATCCTTATCCTTATTACATTAATTTAACAAATTGAGAAAATGTAGCTGAGGGAAAAATAGCGTACGGAGCGAGAATACTATTTTAAGAAGAATGCCTTTGTCTTCCCATACAAAGCAACTGTAACTGCGTTAACAATTAGAATTACATGGGCTTTCAAGTATTGTCCAAGATCAAATAAACATGCTACAAATTTATTTCGATTTAAAAAAAAAACTGCAACTATAATTTAAATATAATTTATAGTTATTTTTTCGGTATCAATTGTATTTTTTAAAACTGTAAATATATTATTATTACTAACACGCAATAATAATTTTAAAACTCCTAACTATACACAAAAAATTCAGTTTACTCTTTTCTTTTAAGTAATGATTATCTTTAGCAAAGGATATTTTCTTGATAATATAATATAATCTTAAAATATACTTATTTCAGAAAAACTTGTTATCACGTAGTCAAAATAATCTTTTTAATATTTAAGAATATTATAAAATTTTATTGTAAAGGCAATTTTATATAATAAGCTAAATAAGCAAATCGAATCTATTTTAATTTAAGTAAGTAATTTAAGTAGGTGAAAGCAGCATCTTACGTATAGTTTCTACTTAAAAATTTTATTCTGAAAAAAGAAGATTAAAAAGTATTGCTCAGAAGTCTTAAAGTTTATTATACTTTTCTCTCTCATAAGAGTATAAATAGTATAAATTTACCTTTATACACATATATATATGCTATTAAAAAATATAACTCTTATAAATATAAAATTTGTTTGGACTGTTATAAACATCCTACCTATCTGCTTAAAGGTTAATAATCTTATTAATTGAAGTATTAAACATTAAACTTACTAAGCTCCAGAATATATTCTGAATAAATTTTTGATACTTGTGATGGATTTTTGATAAATTTGCGGATATATAAATTTTTTAAAATACTCGAACCAAGTAATTACTATTTAAATAACAGTACGTACTTTATTTCATCGAACAATTATAATCACACAAGCACCAGCACCTTTCTCTAATCGTAATAAGTTACCGTATTATCGGCTTAAACTTATTTTCCCGAGTGATTTTCGGAAATAATTGAGAGAGAATGAAACGCAATGAACGTCCAAGTGTTTGTAAATAAAATTTCCGGATACACCGCGTTCGTCGATATCTCGATAACGTCCCTACGGGCTTAATCCGCTCGCGTGCGAACGCGATTATCGGGCGATCGCCCTTCATCCTGTCTAATTTCTTTTCGCGGACGGCCGAGCGTGGCGAGCAAAATAGCCGCGGCTCGTATCGCGATCGCCACTGTAACAGGCGGCGAGAAGGAAATTGCCGCGTCCGAGGGCTGCCTTAATTGATAATAACGCGCGCTCAGCGCCGAAGCTATCGGGATAATTAATGACACGCTGGCTAACCGCCGCCACGCGGTCATACCCCGCTTTCGTTACCTCGCTCCAACAGCCTAATGAAGGAGAAGAGAGATGAGACGAAACAATATAGCGATTCCCGCACCGCACCAGATAGACAGTATCTCTTTATTATGTGACTAGAAAGAAATGAGCTTATTTTATTATTTATTTAAATCTTATTTCTATTCAAACCTTCTTTACATCTTCAATTATATCTCTTTTGCGATTATCAAGAGATGTGTGTCTGTATATTTCATGGCTTTTTGTTTTATATACGTACAATTAAGAAAATAAATCGTGATTGGGTTAGTAAAGTAACGTGATATTTATTTGGGGAAAAGATTCAAATTTCTAATGAAAGATAATATAAATAGAGAGGAAATATATATATGTAACTTTTTAGTCGTTTATTGGAAAACCAGAGAATATAAACCATTATAAATTTTTAAAATTTATACATGGTCGCCTGCGGATATTTTAAAACATGGAACACCTGCATGATATGGACGATGTTATATGTGAGTGCACGAGTTAGCTCGTGAGTGATCATTTCGATTTTAAATCCAATAATTTATCGTAAGCTTTTTTAATTCTGCGAGCTAATCCATTTTTAAATAATATTGAATATTAATATCAAGCATGACATTATAATGATATGATATTCGTAAATATTTATTAAATCGCTGAACGTTACCGATATCATCGAATTTACATTTTTAATTACAGCGGAATTTTTTTCTAACGTCCTATATAAATTTTAAATTACGATAGCGCTGTAATCTCTCAGACTGATCTTAGCGCGAGTTTACAATTGTATAATGGAAGCTTGATGTGTGTGGCCGTCGAGGTATTCTCTGAAATTGCACGGTCTCAAGCTTATCTAAAATAAGATGGTTCGCTTATTTTAACGATCGAAAGGGAGCACCATAATAACAATTCATGAACGTGAAAATTGAATTCAACTCGCCACGAAATTATCGCAACCTTGTGAGAAATAGGTGAATCGAAGGAGATTTCCTGTAGAGATACACGAACTTGAAATGGCGAAAATTCGTTTCGGAGAGTTTATCATTAATATCCGTTATTCGTTCGTTATTTTTCGATCGCTACGAGGAAGAAAATGAATTGTTTATATACGCGGATAAACGCGCAGTGCACAAAACGCAGAAAGTGGACTGATCAATAAACGTATTTATTTACGCTGCAAATTGCGGTATCGAAAACGACCGTCGTTCGAACGTACAACCGCTATATGCTTTTACACTGATTAATCTAATAGTTGATAGGCACGTACGAGACTCGACATCGGCTGTGATGGAGATGACATAGCGATATGAATAAATTAAATGCTTCTCTGCAACGCATGCGAAGCAAAAGAATTATTTGTTTACGCAAATAAATAAGTAATTAATTGCTTACACAAATAATTAATTAACGAGGGATTACAGCGAGCTAAGAACTTCGTTACGGTTGTAATAAATACATTCTTTTTAAATAAAATTAGGGGACCATTTCGAATCGATGGTAAACGTAACGAAATATAATTTTAGCTTTATAAACAATAATTATACAGCCGTTTTTTATTTTGAGGCAGCCTTTTAATCTTGTTAACGAGTGCGTGACGCGATAGCTGTAGCGCAATGTAATTACTTAATTACTAATAATAAACGTCAGATTTATGTGTACTAAAAATATTAAAGGAACTTATTACATACCAAAAAAGCTTCATTTAAGTTAACGGACCGCGGAGTTGTCTTGCGTTTCGCGGTTTCGGTCGTTAGGAAGCATGGCGGGATACATCACGGTCAACGCGCGGTGCTTCGCTCTTGTCGAATTCGCGGCGGCGAGTGAATCTCACCGTGACTTCGAGACCGCGAGAAAAAGCGCGCGGATGCAGCGGCGAGGTCATCGGCGCGCGAGCGAGCCAGTTTTTGCGACGTTCCCCGCGTTCTTTTCCGCGAGGCACTCGCAGAATTCGCTCGTCTCGCCACGTCGGACTTCCGATCGACGGAGCCTTTCGCTCGCGCTCACGTGCAAGTTCATGATTAACGACGTAATTGTTAGCGCCTCGCCGGCTGTTACGTCGGCGCTGATGTAACAGCGCGTGCAGCGCGCCTTCCTAACGTCGCGGACCATAACGAACGCCGACGAATCGCGAATGACAACGAATGAAGAGGACGAAGACATTGGGGATGTATGTGACGACGGGTGCATCGAATTTTTCTCGATTATTACTCTGTCGTGTAAGAATTAATTTGAAACCGTGGATGTTATTAAACGTCGGGTTTATATGTTAACTCGGGAAGTTATCTGGAATGTTTTCATACCCCAGCGGCGATAAAATATGAATTATTGTAAAATGAATATTTTCTTTCTTTTTAGATATATTGTCTTTCATTTTTAATAACTGTTGTTTACGAACCTTTAAATGAGATTCCGTCGAAAATCTACAATAAAAAAATATTATATTAATTAAAATATTTTTGTTATATAATAAACTGTTTAACGTGTAGTTTATTTAATTATATTTACTTGGTTTCTATTTATTTATTTATTTTTTTTTTTCAGAAAAGTTGTGAAAATCCATATCCATTTGTTTTTAATGCCAATAAATTGGAAAACAATCAAAAATGTACAATATATTTTGTGAATAATAGTGATTTTAATTGGAATGTAGAAACAGGATCGTTTACATAAGAAGAAATGAGGTAGATAATTTCAGTTACAAATTACAATTAAAAATTTTGTATTAGATAAAGGATTTATATCAAAATTAAAACGTATGATAAATGAGTTATTTTCATTCATACTCTTTGCACTTATTTGTCATGTTAAATCATATCTTTATACAATGAATTATTATTTTAAAGAACTGCCAAAAAGTTAATTTAATTATATACATTATAATTTACACAGTTATAGAATTAGTTAGTTATAGAATAACCTATATGTTTGAATCATACCAAAATATAATAAACATTAGTATGCATGATATAGATGACAATAACAAATACTGATAAAAGTTTCGTTTCCGACAAATCCGATTCATTCGTTACATTTGTAATAGACGGAAGACATCTTCGTGTAAAAGAATCATTACTACATGCGACTTCTCTCTCTCTCTCTCTCTCTCTCTCCTCCCTCCTTTTCAAAAAGTAGTTCGTAACCGAGCGTGATGATGTGTTTCCCATCTCTTATATGTTCTTTGTTCGTATATACAAAAAATAAGAAAAAGAATAAAAAATTATTGGAAGATTTTTTAATTGTTTTTCTAAAAATTAAGAATAAAGATTATAGGAATAAAGTTGTCTATATATATATGTGTGTGTGTGTGTGTGTGTGTGTGTGTGCGTGTATTACAATAATTTATATATTATTATAATAGACATTAATTATGTAAACAATTTTACAACATGTATTTAATAATAATTTGATAACATATATTGTTCCATAAAAATGCGAATTAAATAAGCAAAAGGTACGTTTCCTTGAAAAACTGGTTTAGAATATTCTACGATTAGTAGATTCGGGGAATCCTTTTGATGTGTAAATAGTACAACAATATATATCAGTATGCAACGAGGATAAACGATTTATTTCGGTAATAAAATAAAAAAACAGCCGTTCGCTTCCAAGTTAAACGACGGGGCAGGCATGCGAAAAATAACGGAAGGGCAATTTCTTCGTACCCGAGTGGACTGTTGCTATTATTACGTGCATTTCGAGAACGCGTGACACCGCGTGAGCATCATGCTCTATCAGTCACTCAGTCAATGACAAGTACAGTAAAGTCTGTGCGAATGTTCAGCGCCCGAGCTGTCATTCTCACTTTTTACGGTAGCACATGACGCCGATAAGCACTTAATCCACCATTCCATGTAGCGATATATCACATCTCGAGAAGAGCGACCTGTCACAACGCAAAGAGTCAATTTTCACAAAATGAGACTCCAATTACAAAAACGTAGACAACAGAAATGAAATTTTATTATGTTATTACGGCACAAATTTCAATTTAAGAAAAAAGAAACTCTTTTTGAAAAGCTTTCGACTTTCGCCTCTTCTTTTCAAGATAAGATAAGATTAATGCAAATAACTGGACAGCTATCTCTCAAATATATATATTCCATTATTTATTAACTACGGTTGCAGTGAAATTTAAATTTGATTATTCGATGAATAAAAAAACAAAATACTTGTACAGTTGAAGGATTTTTTGTACAGTTAAAGGTTGTTTTTTTTTAATTTAAACTCTATTTAAATAAAAATTCCCCCTCTCCTCAATATAATGTTCAATATCGATGGGGTAAATATTGACCTAGAATTTATCCAAGCAGAGGAAGTCAATAACCGGTTAAGCAATTCGCCTATTATGCGTGTCAGAATCGCATAATATTTCGCGACTCGCTGGTTCTACTAGTCTTCTCAGACTGAAATGCATTCGCAAGCAGAGGGAACAGAATTGTTGAAATTCTCTTACGACTATAGATCAGTCCCGTAACTTGATTTAACGTTGGCAGCAAGACACTATAATCATAAACCATAACGCGTTTCGTAAAATAAGTTTAAAAGATGAAGCGGCATAATATATCTTAGAAACGCTTTTCTTACTCGCACAACTAGAAAATCCTTTTCTAGTTATTTTTAAGCCAAATATTATTAATACCTTATTTTTTCGATCGTTTTTCTAACGCGTTATAGATATTCACATCTCGAGCGGAGTTCTGTAAAAAAAAAAATTCATAATTCACAAGTCTACTCACACTGCTCGAAATCTGTCTGCTTACAACGCAAACGAACTTAATATATTGCTTCGAAATAAAATTATATCTAACAATTTTTTTTTATTTTTTCAATGCATAAATTTATGCTGTCACGTTAAAAAAAAAAGGAGAATTACACTAATACCGGATATAAAAATAGAAGAGGAAGCTAGATAAAGTTTCGATGGAAAGAAATGGAACGTAGAAATCAAAGACCGAGCAAACGACCGAACGAGATCAAGTGCGATTAGGATGGTCGCGTGCGTGTCTTGAAGAGGCTCGACGGAAACTAGGACGTCTGGTCGCTGTTGGGTCAGATCTTCGGACCTGGTCCGAAGACAGAAGTCAGCGGTGTTCGTTCGAGACCGTCGATGGACGAGCGCACGAAGCGAGGCTGGTTGTTAGTCGAGGCACTGAGCATGCATTAACAGTACTCTGGACGGGCCGGTGCGGCGGTGGTTCTCTCTTGGTTCCCCGATTTCTGCCAGCGGCGCGGCCCCTTCTCGCCGGGAGGATGGTGTACCCGGTTGGACACATCGGGGGAAAGGAGTCCTCCGCGTGCTCCGACTTGGTACACGCGCCTTCAGTTCATCGAGGATCTTCGTCAAAATTGCATCCCTTTGCCGGCGGCGCGTGTGTCTGGTAAACATTTCTCGAGTTAACGAGGGGAAGTGTACGACGTGAGAAAAAGAGAGAAATAGCTCGGCAAAATCATGTGGAGAATTCTGATTGCTGGATTTTGCACGGTGAGTCTGTGGCCGGTACGGGGTTAATTTCGTAAATATTTTCATTTTATGTAGAGACAAAAAAGATTTTTAACGCTAGTTATAAATTCTTATTTCCTCTTTTTCCGTGTTTCAACAAGAAAAACAAATTTAAGGAGTCTGTCGGATAAATTGTTAGATATTTTATTGAAAAGTAAAACGGAATTCTCGATTCGCCCTTAGTTATATTTTGTTAGTTTTTACGTTATTTATATTTTTTTAATTAGCTCTGTAAGGTACAAAATGAAATAGGAATAAAAATTTCCACTAAATTTGTATAATATTTGTTCTTATTATTATTTAAATACGATCTAGTAATAATTCGAAATTAATATCTACAATTTTAAATGAATAGATAATAGTATTTAAAATGAATTTGTATTATTGCTAAATTGTCATTATTATTGCTAATTTTCACAAGTAATAATGAGGAATGGTATTACACAACTTTCATTTAAACTTATATATATATATTTTTTTTTTATATATACAGTGAGTGCAAAAAATTTCGTACAAGGAAATTTTTTATAAAAAAAAATTTTATTTGTAAAAAATAAACATTAATTAGCAATTTTATACAATGAATACATTCTGTCCTAACATAAACAAACGAGCTTTGCATGTATTTTTGATTTTAAAAGCTAAATTTCTTGACTGTATGAATACTTTTTGAGCATCCAAACAATAGAATTTTTAATTTTCGATTATTTTTCAGATGATATATTTTCTATAATTAATACATATTTTTTTATATACATATATAATTTTAAGAAACATATAGTCTATTTTATTTTTAAATAGCAAGAAATGACCAATTAAACGTCGAATCGACGTCAAATTGTTGAAATCATCGTATCAATATATCGATTCGATATCAATTCCATGACTCATTTCTGTTTGAATAATATTTACTTTTTAAAAATAAAGCTTTTTTAAAAAACATTTTCTCTGTGCGAATACTTTTTACACTCATTGTATATAAATACGAAAAATTATATAATATGCTATAATATATTAAAACTATTTCTTTATTTATTTAATGTACTCTGAAAGTGCGCATTCGTGATATTGAAGCTTCGCAAACTTCTTCTCAAGTAACAAGTTACTCGTTATTTGATTTGCACCGTTCCGCTGCTGCCTTTTCATAAATCTATCATGAGACGAAGGGTTCAGTACAAATTTTCTTTTTTAGGAACTTTCGAAAGTAAATTCAAATTTTATTTCTCAGTTTAAAGGAAATTATCCAATTTAGCTTAAAATTTTCAATTAAAACTTAACTTTTTCCCACGTCCTTTTAAACAACGTAACTTTAATTATTCTAAAGCACTGATTCTTTAATTTATCAAGGAGTAAAAAAATATACAATTTAGACTCCTGATTAAAATTTTAGTCGAGAATATTTTTATTTTAAATCTTGCAATTCTTAT